TTACCTATAGACTGCCACTGGGTCAATCGCCAGCACAGCCTTCATCAAAGCACATTTGCTAGTTTTCAGTGTGTTTAACACATCTTGGCGCATGAGATCCTTGTTTTTCTCGCGAAAACCCTGGAAAAGTAAGCGATTCTTCCAGAAAAAAAGTATTTCAATCTTATATCAGTACCGTGATTTGGTATTTAACCTTTCCTGCGTAATGAGCGATGATAAAAGCTGGCTCTTTTCGTTGAGGCGTTTCGTAGTACTCATTTGTCTAAAAAGATAAACTTGTAATTATTCAAGAAATTTTTTATTCCTTTGACGCACCTTAAGGAACTGATTCAGCTTTGCAAGCATCGACTCGTCGGTGCCATTGTTGATGTTGCTCTCTTCATCTATCAAGCGTAGCAACCCATACGGTTTGCTCTGAAATAGACCTCGACAATTTTTTTAAAAAGCAGTTCAGAAAGAGTTTTAATACCTGAAAGAGTTGCACACATTCCGTGTTGTCTGTGTATTCGATGTTGGTCCAACATATACCTTGAGACTGATACTCTTCCTGGAATCAAGTTTTAATCTTTAGGGAAGACTCAAACCACCACACTTTCGTAAGATTGACTCGCAGAATTTCAGATCGGCGATAATTCAAAAATTAAATATATGGTGATGATGGTAGTCCAGTTGGCAAATTGTATATAAATTTATTGCGTATAATTGGCTATCAAAGCGGTCTCATGCATTCTAGCTAACTTTTCACTCACATGTTCGAAGTAATTTGTAGAATGTTTCAAGGAACTCACTTTAAGGTTAAAACCATTTTAATCTAAAAATCCATTAGGTGCGGGTTAAAGCGTGCCGTCTTTATTAAATCAAAGAAATTTAAGAAAACCGAAAGCATTGTCAGCTTCACTCAGGTTTTGCAAACTTAGACCTGTGAGGAGGTTTCTGGGCATCATAGATCCCTTAGATTGATAAAACTCATCATAAATTCAACCTTTTTATATAGATCAAAAACACTGCGTCAATGTTTTTGACGCTAAGCTATAGTACATGAGCTGCTGCGAAAGGCAACACCCAAAGGAAGGAAAAAAACAGGGATATCACAAAGTATAGCCACTTCCTGCAACTTTCTCTAATTTGAAAAAAAA